TATAAGCTTTATGAATCACCAGATGCTTTATTTCATGAATATGGACCTCGTATTTCTTTTTGGTTAGGCAAAACTGCTCCAAAGCTAATATGATGTAGCTTCCTCAGAGACGGGCTGCTTGACATGGCAGCGGAAAGATTGTGGAACAGTATTAGGAATGTTGTCGATTGAGTTACTGTTACTAATGTCAAGAACGGACCTCCGTTATAGACTTACTAAGACAATAAGACCCAACAATAATTTCAAGCGGCCTTCGGGAATTCAACTACAACTTCAATTCCACATAATGGTAGGTTTTGACACGACTGAATGTCTCAGTCCAATAAAGCGTTTATAGTGGATCGGTTTGGACCGGGACAGAGGATGAAATGTTACAGTCTCTCTGGGCCACTTCATTTAGCATCCCATCCCTGTCCCATCTCTTCTTTCAACCTTTTAGTGTTTTTAACATGTTATCATATAAAGGATTGTGTAAAGGAATAGCAATGCAGTGCACGGGATTTTAAGCCATCATTAGGAAATGGAAGGAGGGAATAAAGAAGAATGGAATTACTAATATTGAAACGTTATTCAAAGATGAAACACTATATTCATATATGAGGAAAGGTTGGGATTTGGGATGTGGTTCCAAAGATCTTAATTCAGCTATCAGTTTGGGGTGCTTAATGGCATTAATTTCTCATAGTGTTAAGGTGCAGTTACATTAGGGAAATTTTGCGGGCAAAAAAGTTCATTGTTGTCAATAGTGTACGATGTGTGAAGCACAGCTCACGCTGAAAGCACATTGAAACCAAGCAACTTTATGTTGGTCAAATAGGGTTCTGTTGGGAAGTATGCTGCATGCAAAATTCACGATTGCGTGGATTCCAATTTAAATGACTGGATTTTGCCTTTGAAAATTTGTTGAAGAGCTGTAAACGTGACCGCACCTTTTCATATTTAATGTCCTTTTATAGATATGATAATATCATTATCAATATGCTTTAGCAGGGCTTCAGACTGCTTCTGAAATAGTTGCAAATGCAACAAAATACAAATTTGTGGCAATTATTTATAATGTTGTTACTTAGGTTAGTGTTTTTTGTGTGTCTGTAATACGGTTTCATTGGCGAAATGAATTTTTTTTTTTGCTCATTTTTTTATTTTATTTCACCTTTACAGGGCGAGCCGTGATGTCTGATTTACGGATAAATGATTCTCAAGAACCGGTTGTTTTTAATGTGTGTCAAATGGATTTGCGAGTTAGCATGTTGAATCCGATTCAGTCAGCGAGTCATTCAGAGTTTGCAAAAGATTTGTTTAACTTCAAGTCACTTGCCACATTCTGAACAGCATATTTTTCAAGCAATTGCAGTTATTGGTTCAAAAGACATTTCGCTTCTAAACATTTCATTTAAAGAGTCATGTTAGTCTGGAGCCCTGCTTTAGATTCCCTCATTCAGGTGGTTGTATCTTTTACAGATGTAATATGATATCAGATAGAAGAATGCTTGGGGTCAGTCACTTCATAATCAAGATAGAAAGACACTATTGATTTTTCACTCACATGGAGAAAATGGATTGCTTCTACAGGTAGCCAATATAAAACTACCAATATAAGGAGCTCTTGTAATTTAGGATATCGCTGTGGATCACATTTCAAGAGAAAAGGGCATTTGCCTTAAAAATTCATAAGCTGATATGTTCTTCATCAAGATATATTCCAAAGGTCAATTGGATTGCCTGGATTGAAAGACACTCTGACTGCAGAGTGTTTTTAACCAGTCCTCTTTAGCTAACTAGGCATTAAAATTACTTCAACTAAACTATCTTGACTATGACAATCATTAATCTTTTAATCAGATAACAAAGTACGGTGGGATGGTAACATATTGTCCTGTTTTGCATAATGACTCAGATATGGTTGGTTTCATCAGATGGCCTACGCTTGATGAATGAGGACAGCAGCTGATATGAAGATCCACAGCAAGTCAACCTCACAGCCCTTTATTAACAGGTCAACAGTTGAGACATAAATCATGTGTTTCTGGCTTTTGGTGAAGAGCGCCGACAGCTTTGGAAGCAGACGGTTCATGAAAAATAAATGGCATTACATGAAAGCTGCATTGTCTTGCCACTAACACAGCTCAAAACAGCCTTTTGTTACTCCCTGTATCCACCTTTGTCATTGTTTTTCTAGATGTGCAGTATTGTATATCTTGACATTTATATATTTTGTTAACCATAGCCTTGTTCTATGTAATTTTTTTTTTTTTTTTTTGGTCGGCCCAAAGCTTAACAGCATGCATGCTGAAACCGACGAGAACATGCGATTCTGAAAGTCTTTGCATTTCGACAGCATTTCAGAGGACGAGTTTTGAATACTATTGATTTGATCGGTGATGAAACACTGTTAAAACCTGATATGGGTGAAATGGGAATAAATTTGCAATGTATAAAAAGCCAAAAAGAAAAAGGAAGGCAATACAACCTTTCTTTATTGTACACTACAAATGTCAATAAAAGCAGTATTTATCAAACCTGCTGAGTATACAAAATGTCATCTTTGTACAAGAAACTGAATTTTTTTTTTATATTAATAGTCTCCATTATAAATTAAAATTAAATGACCCATGTCAGTTAACCAAGAAAATTCAGGAACTGCAGATCTTGGTTTTTCTTGTTTAATAACAAAACAGTTTAAATGGTGTAAAATAGAAATAAATTACATGGCCGATTCTTGAGGGAAAGAGTAGAAAGATGCATTGAGAACAGCATGACTAAACTCAAACATTATGGCATATGTAACATAACCAGACAACTGAGAGCTGAGTTTTTCAGGATAAGCCTTGCGGTGGATTTAACCATTTAATAAAGAATTGACCCTGACAGTACAATTTAAACCAGGACAAACCTCGATCCAAGACTGGAAAATGTGCCAAACCACACAATTCACATGAGATGGGAACAACTGTCACTGAAACGAATGGACAGAGATGCTGGACCGTGTAAGAACTAGGCTGATAAATCTAGATCGTACATTGTCCATGCTTAAAACTAGCCAAATGTCAGTCAATTCTTCACACGCTGTAATCGAAACAGACCACAAAATATAAATGGGCAAACCTGAGGTAATGTAGACTTGCAAAGATGTTGAACGAAGTTAAAGGGTTAGTTCACCCAAAAATGAAAATTAGCCCATAAATGACTCCCCCTCAAGTCATCCTAGGTGTATATGACTTTCTTCTTTCAGACGAATCCAGTCGGTGTTATATTAAAAATAGTCTTTGATCTTTCAAGCTGTTTAATGCCACTCAGCAGGTGTTGCATGCATTCATCCAAAAGCAATTAAATAAAATGCGCCCATCCATAAAAAAAAAGTGTCTCACACCGCGAATTGGGGGGGTGAACAAAGGCCTCCTGTAGCGAATCGATGCGTTTTTGTAAGAAAAATATCCATATTCAAAACATAATAATCACTTTAATCTAGCTTGCGCTCACTATTGTACACTGGAAGCAGTTCCAGCGGATGACGTATGAGGTCAGCGCTGTGTCAAAGTTAAAATGTTTACTGTGATGTTTTTATCAGCTGTTTGAACTCTCATTCTCACTGCAGATGATCCACTGGTAGCAAGGGAATTTCTCCAAATCTGTTCTGATAAAGAACCAAACTCATCTACATCTTGGAATGCCTGAGTACATTTTAAGCAAATTTTCATTTTTGGGTGAGTTATTCCTTTAAGCTATTTCTGAGGTCATTTCTATGGCAAGTATAATCAAAAGATGTCATCTTATGTGTCCAAATATATTAACTTAAGTGCGCACTAGACCGCAATGTAAAAGTGCTTACTAGGAGCAACCCTAGTACAGAACAACCGTCAAGTGCAAGAAGAGCGATAATAGATTTCTCTCATATATTAAAGGTGCTGTATGTAAGTTTTTGACTCTACTAAAGCATAAAAATATCATAATATGTTTGCAGATATTTAAGAAACATGCCAAGTTAACATACTTGTTTATCTGAAAAACAATGCTACAGTCAGTTATTCTCCTTTAAAATGTGCGTCCGGGCCGGAATGTCGGTCTCTGTTTTGGTTTGTGAAACCCCCCCACTGCCAGTTTACCCAATTGTAATTTGGCACCCCGGGTTGCCAGTTGGCGGAAAACACAGTGTATTTCATTTCATTCATCTTCAAGTGCACTCGTTCCTGTTGGTGTCATTAATCTGGCAACCTGCGTGTGCGTCAAGTCTGAGGAGGGGGGGCCGGGTGAAAAAAAACCCTTTCCAATATTTTGAATTTGGACTGCAATACCTAGTTCAACCACTCGGTGTCAATCCTACATACAGCACCTTTAAGTTTAATATATATCCAAAACAATGCAGAACCACTCTACTTTTGCTTACTTGTGTCAACTAAACTGGCACTTCTGTTCAGAGAATGTGTACATGACATTTCTAGTACCAGTTCTAGTCCTGATTGTCAGCAAAGCGCTGGGAAAGCTAACTGAAGTGTAAATTTACTGGAAAAATTATATATTTTCAATCATTCTGAAAACATGGCACGCTCACTCATTTACCTCCTGAATTAAACATTAAAAAAATCGACTATTCAGAACATTTGATGAATAATTCACGTCTGGTTCAATTAGTAAAAGCTGGTTTATGGCTTTAATGGAATATAATATTCAACAGCAGTACTTTGACACGGCCTGTCTGTAATAAACCAAGCAGTGAATTCACACAAGATGTAAACAAGTTTTGAAATGTCTGACAAAATGTTTGGGATTCAAACGCAAACCTTTTTGCATAGCTAATCGTCTAGAACTCATTTGCATAGCAGTCATAAATTAGTATTTGAGATATGGCAGGAACAGGCTCCTAGTTTAAGAGAGAACAGATTAAGTCATTCATCTTACTGCAGCAGCAGTGATTACTTTGGCATTAGTGCGCAAGTGCATCCCAGAGCAGTAAAAAAATAAAAAACAGTTAGCTCTCATTGGCTTCTAGTACCAGTTCTAGTCCTGATTGTCAGCAAAGCGCTGGGAAAGCTAACTGAAGTGTAAATTTACTGGAAAAATTATATATTTTCAATCATTCTGAAAACATGGCACGCTCACTCATTTACCTCCTGAATTAAACATTAAAAAAATCGACTATTCAGAACATTTGATGAATAATTCACGTCTGGTTCAATTAGTAAAAGCTGGTTTATGGCTTTAATGGAATATAATATTCAACAGCAGTACTTTGACACGGCCTGTCTGTAATAAACCAAGCAGTGAATTCACACAAGATGTAAACAAGTTTTGAAATGTCTGACAAAATGTTTGGGATTCAAACGCAAACCTTTTTGCATAGCTAATCTTCTAGAACTCATTTGCATAGCAGTCATAAATTAGTATTTGAGATATGGCAGGAACAGGCTCCTAGTTTAAGAGAGAACAGATTAAGTCATTCATCTTACTGCAGCAGCAATTACTTTGGCATTAGTGCGCAAGTGCATCCCACAGCAGTAAAAAAATAAAAAACAGTTAGCTCTCATTGGCTTTAGCTCCAATGCATTAATGTAACGGTTGGGGTGAGCGTTATTATAAAATCAAGAGGCAATCTATTTCAAAAGGCATTTCAATTTCAATTTACCTGCTCCTCTTATTAATATCTCCTGTATTTTTAATAACCACCCCAACTCTTACATCCTGGTCCAACCTGTTTAACCCTGATGAAGACAAAGCTAACTCCCTCTGTCAGTGACTATGTCTCTCTGTGAACGGCTCAAAGCACAGAGAGCTTGTTGAGCAAGTTCCTCACGATCTCCTTCACGTGGTTCGTACCCGAGGCTAGCAGCACCATTGAGCTTTCACCGTCCATACCTTCATCTGCTCTCATAAGACCTCAAGACCTGCTAGAAAAATCCACCGTCAAGGTAAAGTGTAACATGAATGTGATAATACATCTGTCAGTAGAAATGGATCAAACCTTCTTACGTTGTGAAGATGAAATCACGGCGTCCGTTACAGCAGTACCTAACACAGACAGCAGATGACAGTCAAAACCAAATAAATGTGTCATTCACACACACACACACACACACACACACACACACACACAAAAGATTTTCACTAAGGAATAGGACTCATAAAAGTACGGTCAGACGTTTATTGTCACATGGATTCATTATTCATTCACGTACTGTGTAAGATTAATGGATGCATTTTACTGTATTATTCCAGGTTCAATGTGAATAAATGGCCATTCTTTATGATGTCCTTCAAGGTATTATGAACACATATTGTACAGGTGGTGAATGACATGACTACTACCACTACTACTAATATTAATAATTATTATTATTTATTTGTTTGTTTCATAATACCTTTATTTTTTTATTATGTTGGTCATTTTCCATTCACAGTAGTGCTGGGCGGTATGACCAAAAATTTATATCACAGTATTTTTCAAAATTATACCGGTTTCACGGTACATGACGGTATTTTTTTTTCATGCATGACCGGGTGTTAACCATATTTTCTACTGATTGAGAGAGGAAATACTGCAGTATATTGACTTAGAATGCCCTATTTTTACTGTCATGATGAGTGAATATTGTCAAAAAATACCACACTAAATAGTGACTAAACACGACCCCTTTTAATACATGTTAACCAGGAGTCACTCTCATTTATAATCGCGGCTTCGTCTGATAAAATCAACATGCATCTACACTAAAGAGCGGCTATGCGGTTGTTTTGGCTATATTACTTTTTTGTCTCAGGCAGC